ATATAAAAGTCTGTTAAATTTTTTTTTTTAAATGTGTTTTTAGTACAGGGTCTCACTATGTAGATAAGGCTTATAGTGATCCTCCTGTTTTCAGCTTCCCAAGTGCTGGGATTATCGGCATACTCCACCATGCCTAGTCTCAATCGTAGTCTCAGCACACCCTGGAGGTAGGGCTGGCAAGGCATGCCGGGGCTTGTACCCTGGTCCCTTTGTCTTCCTAAGCAGGCATTTTAATCTGTTAATTTTTTTTTTTTAATTTGTGGTATTTCCTGCTTTTCTACTGACTCCAATTAATCTTAAGTTATTCTTCTTTGCCTCATATAGCAGCTGCTGTATTGATTTTTCATGATCATTAAGAGTAAGTCTGCCTTGTATGTCTGAGATCCTGTCCTCACATTGGCTTAATCTACTGTTGATACTTCCCATGGAATTTTTATTCTTCTGGGTATCTGCTTGAATCTGCTTTATGAATTTCATTTCTTCCCTGTGCTGAGCATTCATGGTTTCTATAATTTTCTTAAGCTCGTCTATTTTTTTTTTTTTGTCTGTATCTGCTCTAAAGTCACTAAGCATGGCTTTCATTGTGCACACTCTCTGCAGTTATCTGAGGAATTATTTTTGCTTTGATTTTTTTTCTCCTAGAGCCACATTCAACTGTTTTGTTGTTAACTAACTTCAGAGAAGTTAGGTGGGTGGCTTTTGGATTTTTGCGCTTCATTGACTCCTGGGCGTGCCATTGGTGGGCTAGAAAATTGCTTTTGATGTGGTTAACTTGACAGTTTGCTTACACTTTGGTACTATAATTTCAGCTTCTTTGTTCTTAGTTTCAAGTAAAACAGTGCCTCATCACCCAAGTTTGATAGCTTTAAATACAGCCTCTTTTCCCCCTCTTAGCTGTACCTCTCAATCCTGCCCACACACAGTGCCATCTAGCTAAACAAAGCCTGGCTATCACACAGAACCCTCAGTGCACCAAAAAGTTTAAGATTTGACTTTTTGTCTTATAAGGCAATAATTTGGTTTCTTACTGTTGGAAGGCTATTGGCAGAAGGCATGGTGCTCTTGGGTCAGAAACGAGAACGTAATTGTTCACAGTATAGGAAGCAGCTTGAGCTTCAGCCTAGCTACAGCGTGTTTCCTTGTCTTTAAGGCCGGCAGGGATGAGTGCTTTGGGGCAGTGGAGTTATGTTGTAGCTAAGGAACACTGATTTTAGGACTTTGTTCTGTCATCAAATACGTTTGCTCCTTGTTTCAAGTAAAACAGTGCCTCATCACCCAAGTTTGATAGCTGTAAATACAGCCTCAACAAATGGCCCAGGGAGTGTTTCAGGCCTTGTATTTTTGAGTATCCATATATATATGGATATATCCTTTATACACACACACACACACATTATCTCATTAGCCAGAACTCTGGGCAACATCATATTAGTCGTTTTCTAGACTAAATTGCATTAACCTATTACAGCTCTAGGTCAGATCATCATAATCTCATTAGATTTATTGCCAGCATAGCCTTCTAACACATTCTTGCCTCTTTTTCCCCTCTTGGCTATACCTCTCAATCCTGCCCACACACAGTGCCATCTCACTAAACAAAGCCTAGCTATCACAGAGCCCTCAGTGCACCAAAAAGTTTAAATTCTTTAACAAGATACATAAGGTTCTGTATCAACTAGTTGAATCCCATTTTTTACCATTTCTTGTTTGCATTCAAATTCTGGCTATAGTAAGTAGTTGTTACTTTGTAGGGATCCCTTGAATTCACATTCTCTGACGTGAAATATTTGTTCACTATCCCTGAACATGATTCTATTCTGTGTTTTGGTATACGATTCAAAGAATATATTTCTCTACAAACTGTTAAGTTCTAGTACCTTTGTTTTCAGTACTGTGGATCGAACTTGGGACTTTGAGCTTGCCAGGCAGGTGCCCATAACTGAGCTATATCCCCAGTTCTAGTACCTTTTTGCCTGGCCTAATTGTCTTGGTTACTTTTCTCTCATTGCTGGGACAAAATACCTGATGCTCAGAATTAAGGAAGGAAAGGTTTATTTAATTCACAGTTTGTGGAGGTTTCAGCCCACACCTGACTGGCTTCAAGGCAGTGTGGCACATGGCAGAGGGCAGCAGTTCATGGTGGCAGAAAATAGCAAAATAGCAAGAGCAAAAAGGGAGGAGCAGCAGCAGAGCACCAGCCTCTTTCCCTCCTTTATATTGCCTTCATGCTGTCTACCCCAAGATGGGTGTAACACTCGCACCCATAATCTGAGCATTAGATTATGAATTAGTCACAAACTCTAGAAGCCGCCCTATGAATGTAGGAGGCTTTGGGAGGACATCTAGACACAAACTGTTACACTAATGTTTTACCTTTTTCCCCCTATGGTGTACTATTTTATTGCTTTTATAGAATTTATCAAATATCTTGAGTTACAGTGCTTGATTTTTAGTGATTCCTTATACTGTAAAACCTCACTGTACTTTTATCTGGTATTATGTTTTCTTTTTAAAACAACTTTGAAAATTTCTTTTGATGTGGTTAGCCTGACAGTTTGCTTACACTTTTGATACTATAATTTCAGCTTCTTTGGAATTAAAGATGAAAGACCTGTATATTAGATTTTGTTTTATGAACATTAGTATTCAAATTTATTTAAAGAAATTCTTGATAAAAATTTCAAGTTAGGATCATCACAATTAAAAATGTTACTGATACATCAAAATAGTTTTGATATTTTTTAGTAGTAATCTTTTTCTCTATAGAATGACAACTCTGAAATCATTCTCTGTAAACTAATTTGGTTTTGTTATACTTTTGTAGGCATATACTAGTGTCTCTAAGGCTTCACTTGGTCTTGCGGATCACCGGGAACTCGGAAAGATGATGAATACAATAATTTTTCATACAAAAATGGTAGATTCATTGGTGGAAATGTTGGTGGAAACATCAGATCTCTCCATATTTTGGTATGTTGAAATTTTCCTTAAATTCAGATTTGAAATTTTTAGTATTTGAGGATCTTTATTTTCATTCTTCCTCCTTCCCTCTCTTCCCACTCTCATTTCTCCTCTCTCTCTGTGTATTCCAAACTAGCCTCAAACTCACAGTGCAGAGATTATAGGGATAACATTTCCTGATTCCTAGCATAGTTGTTAAGATAACTCAGTAATGTACTCTTAAAGATAAAGGAGATAGTAGGTTCTTACAAAAACTTGCCAACAAAAAATTTATGAAGTTGGTATTTTATTTTTAGTTCTCTGTAATTCTTCCCAACTGGGCTTGGTGGCGCACTCCTGTAATCTTAGCACTCAGGGGCCTAAAGCAGTAGGATTGCTGCAAGTATGAGGCAAGCCTGAGGTACATAGTAAGTTCAAGGCCATCTAGAATTACAAAGTAAGACCTTGTCTAAAAAACAAACAAAAAAGTAACTCTTGTTGATTCTTAGATTTCTTTTGAGGATGAGTATAGATTACTTTAAGGATTCTCCTTTTCATGATTAGACTAAGAGGAAAACAGTATGGATCAAAATCAGAGTAAATGTTGAAAATTAAATATTTAATGACTCATGGTAAATTAAATACTAGCATGATGATATGCTTGTCACTTCCTGCATTTTGTCTTCATTTCAGTCATACTTTCTTTGTTATTCTCAGTGCTGTTTACTGCCTTTCCTTTTAACCAGAAAATATCTCTGAAAAGTTGTTTTTGTTTCCTTAGTGTCTCGCATATTACATACTTCCAAATGTTTGAATTACTTAACTTCATTGGAATTAGTCTGATAAACGGTGGGGCAGGATTCAAGTTCACGTATGTTGGCTTCTTAGCTGAATTTGTGGCTTTTTGGCCTTTTTTTTCTTTTTAGGAAAGTAAACTGGAATAATCTGTCTCCTTTCTAAAATGTTAAGGTAATTAGTAGTAGTTCCTAGGTACTGAATAAAGTCTTTTTCTTTGTCTTCCATTTACCTTTTTTTTTTTTTTTGCGGAACCGGGGATTGAACTCAGGCCATTGCGCTTGCCAGGGAAGCGCTTATTCCACTGAGCCATCTCGCCGGCCCCCTATTTTTTTTTTTTTAATAATTCATTCCACAGTGATTTAGACAGTGATTTTAAAATGCTTTAAAAAGAATTGTTAGTAGTGCTGCAGAAATCTAAAATGCCAGACAGAACAGCCTACTTGATATAAAGTACTCATGAAACATATAGTACTTATGCTGAGACTTAGGTATATCCAAAATTTGGAAGAATTTTAAGATTATTTGGAGCCTTGTATTACTATCTGACCCCTAGCATACTCTTGAAAGAAAATGGAACATTTTATAGTCAGGAGTGTTTTAGTTGTAGCAACATTCCTATTGCAAAAATGATGAACATTTAGTAATTCCTCTCCCCTTTCTTAGAATTAGAAGCACCTTGAATAATATTTAAAATATGCAGTTTTCATTTAGATTTTTTTATCCATATTCTCTCATATATTCTGGTTTGTATGTCACATCCAAAATAGACATGCTTACTATTTTTGTTTTCCTTACTACTCTGACACATGCTGTATTTTGTCAACCTTTTTTTTTTGTATTTAGTACAGAGTTTACAGGGCCTCATTACATAGATCACACTCATAGTGATTCTCTTGCTTTCAACCTCCCAAGTGCTGGGATTATAGGCGTGTGCCACCACACCCAATCTAACATTTTTTACATTTAGTTGGTTTTTGTTTTGTTTTGTTTTGTTTTGTTTTGTTTGTTTTATTTTGTTTTTTGGTGGTACTGGGGATTGAACTTGGGACACTGTGCTTACCAGTCAGGTGCTTATTTACTGAGCTATCTCCCTAGCCCTACATTTAGATTTTAACATACCTTAAATTTTAATGTAATTCATAATTGATAGCATATGATTGCAGTGCCTTTCTAAATTATGCTTAAAATGACATTTCTTGCAATTGATACTAGCAGCTTTGAAATACAATGTAGGATTTGAATATCATGTTTTCATACATATTCCATAGCCATGGTTTTTCTTCTGTTCAGGATTTTAAGTATTTGTTAATGTCATATATAATATTTGTATCATTTTGAAATAATTTGTTGTTATGTAAAATATACTTTTACGGGAAAATAATGCTTATGAGAATAAATGAAACCATTTGGTAATTTTCACTTACTTGAAATGAATTAGCTATAGGACTATGTCAAATTTTATTCATAGTATACATTACAAGCATAAAAAATTCTGATTCTTTTGTTTCCTAATATAGTTTTTATAGTCGTGCTTTTGAGAAGATGTTTCAGCAGTGTTTGGAGTTACCTTCTCAGTCAAGATACTCAATCGCTTTTCCACTACTTTGCACTCATTTTATGAGTTGTACGCATGAACTATGTCCAGAAGAGGTAATTACAGTGTAGTACTGTGACTTGTATGATATGTAAAATAGCTAGATCAAACTTATTAGCCAACCAGATGTTTACAAAATCCTAATTTCCAAAATTTGATTCATACCTAAAGTGTTTCCAGCAGCCAAGGGAATAGCTCAGTAGAATAAGGGCTTGAGTTCAATCCCCGGTTCCGCTAAATAAGTAAGTAAATAAGTAAATAATAAAAATGTTTCCATTGAGAATCAGAAAAATGCTTGAATAGGTATGTGATAAATGTATAAGAAAAAATATATATGTATATCAGGGTATATATAAAATCACTTAACTTTTTTTAAGAATAAATGTTCGGTCCCATACTAATGATAAAGATATATAGTCATTATGTAATTATCATCTTAAACTGTAAAAGGGCTTGAAAGGTAAAAGGTGGCTTACTGAGCAAAATAAGTTTAAAGATTCCATTGTTAATATATTAACTATATTAAGCAAAATCTAGATTTGCTGATGAGCTAGACATGCAAATATATACATACACATAATTACTGACTTTAAACTGATCAGTAGTCTTATTCCAAGTATTCATCAAAAATATTATCAAAGGATACAAAGTTTCTGTTTGATTGGAATGTTTTTGTGACCTACTACACTGAAAAGTGATATAGTTAATGGTAATTTATATTTTGAATTGCTAAAAGAGTAGGTTTATCACGTTTTCACAACAAAAAACAACTTGTAAAATAATGGTAGTCTCATTTAATCTGAATCTTTCCACAGTGTACATCAGGGTTGCTTAGGTTATAGTTGACAGGAGAGCACTTGCATACCTCTTTGTATATAGTTAATTCCTTAGTTTCCATAGGATTGATTCAAGGACACCCCCCCAGAGACCAAAATTACAGATATATGTCTTAAAAATGATGCAATATTTACATATAACCTATGCACATCCTCTCATATACTTTAAAGCAACTTGGTTATTTAAAATGCCCAACTGTGTAAGTGCTATAAAGTTGTTATTCTGTTTTGTTTGAGAAATAATGATAAAGAAAAAATTTGTACATGTTCAATACACATGCATATTTTTAATCTGTGGTTGGTTGATTTTGTAAATGTAGTCTGTGTATATGAAGGTCCCGCGGAACCTTAAAATAGATTTAATCTTTTACTTAATTGTCCTTCTAGTCTCCTAAGTGGTCTGTACTTTTGCTCTTATGCTCCTATAATCTGTTCACTTCATCCAAAGGCAGAGTACAAGTAATAAGTGATTTGCATTATGTTAAGAAGACAGGTTTTGTTGTTTGTCTTGTCTTCTAGAAAGTAGATTAGTGTTTAGTTGTATTTGGCTGCAGGTATCTTTGGCTTTGCTTCCTGTTAAAGTTATAAAGGTCATTTGAGATAAAATATAAAGCATCATGGTGGATCTAGGAACAGCTACTTTGTGTGTCAGGTATTTTTATATTTTATTTTTACATTCATTTCAGCAGTACAGAAATTTGGCACTTTGCACTTGTTTTTGCATTCTGGATTATTGGGGAAGGAATATGTTTAAAAACATTTAATCCACCTTTTTTTTTTTCTTCTTGTATTTAGTGCAGGGTCTACAGGTTCTCACTACACAAATCAGACTCATAGTGATACTCCTGTTTTCAGCCTCCCAAGCGCTGGTATTACAGGCAGACACTACCACACCCAGACTCAACCACCATCTCAGCATGCCCTGGGGGCAGGGCCAGCACAGCACACTAGGAATTGAACCCCCACCCCTGTGCTCTGCCTAAGCAGGTGCTTTAATCTGCTGAGCTATCTGGCTGACCCTTTAAAAACATGTAGAAGAGATAAAGTTTTATCATGTTTTCACAACAAATAATAACTTGTAAAATGAAGGTAGTCTCATTTAATCTGAATCTTTCCACAGTATACATCAGGGTTGCTTAGATTATAGTTGACAGGAGAGCACTTGCATACCTCTTT